GTTTAAACATCTAAATGTCTTAATATATAAAAATGTCTACATGCCCCAACCTTCTAACACACTGATCAGCATTCGGGCTACCACCCCAGATCAGAGAATGTGGTCTATTGGTAGGTGGGAATGACTTTGGGAGACAGGAGGAAGAGTCGTGGACTAGGCAGCAGTCAGATAAGAGACGGCTGACTCTGAAGAAGCAATGGAGGCGTGGGAAATGTCTCAGAAGGGACCCTCCCTAGTTTTTGGGACTGTAAAAGTGAGGGGAAGGGGAGAGAGGTACTTTCAGGTTTGCAAGACACTGTTAATGTAACCTTACAATAAAGTTCGAGCTAGTACTTCTGGGGGTGTTGCTTGATTAGACTACCTCACAGGGCTGACATCAATCGTGCAAGTCTGAAAGTACCTCTCTCCCCTTCCCCTCGCCTTCACACTCCAAGAAGTTAGGGAGGGTCCCTTCTGAGACGTTTCCCACACCCTCATTCCTGCTGTGGACTCAGCCACCTCTTATCTGACCATTGCCTAGTCCGCGGCTCTTCCTCCTGTCTCCCAAGATCATTCCCACATTGGGAATAAACTTAGCTAGGAAAAAAATGAGGCAGCCACTCAGTGCCGGAGCTCCATGTTCTGTTTTCCAAAATAATCCTCATGCCCAATATATTTCTTCCACACCTTGTAGACACTATTTCTGTCTGTGGTCTTCCCATATTCTTCCATATTTATTCTTCTCATCTGCTTGCAAAGGGATACCCACCTGAAACGAAGGACTTATTGAACCAGAAAATCTTGCGGATGTCCTCCAACCTCTTCCACGAGTAACTGCAGTTCATTAATCCCTTTAGCTTGATCTCCAACTTTCTGAGGATCAAAAGAGAAATGGGATCCCGAGTTAGCCTGGACCACACTTCAATGGCCAGATCAGGGCAACAGTTGTTATTTGTGTGAGGGAAGAAAGAATAAATGCTCTGGATGGTCTAATCCAGAAGACGGTGGTTTATCTTCAACACCGCCTGCTTTTACGGTGCTGAGACCATTCTCTTCATGCTTCAAGACCACCGGAATTCAGAACCCTTGGGGCTCTTCTCTCTTTGCAGCCAAATAGCCAAGTCATAAATGCCTTGCACGGAGAGGCCTCTGGCACAAGCCACAAGGACATCAAAATGATGACGTGTGTGTCATCAGCCAAGCGGGGTAAGTCAGACAATGACCCCCTCAAAGGTCCCAACCCAAGGAAAGCATTCAAACAGACTCCTCTTTAATTAACTCACTATAAATGAGGGTTGGAAATTCCTCTGGTGGTTTCTCGGAGATTGTATTGACCCCTTACAAAAATCTGCGTAACTCCTGCTTCTCACACACACACACACACACACACACACATTTATACACACACACACACACACACACAAACATATATATATATGAATATTTTGCACTTTTACACATACATATACACACACACATACTGTATATTCATCTATACTGTATATATATATGTTTGTGTGTGCATATAAATCTGTGTAACTCCTGCTTCATATATATATGGAGTTACACACACATATATGTATTTAATATATGAAGCAGGAGTTACACACATGTATATTTAAAGATGTTTTAAAAAGGAGAAAAAACACTAATCTAGGGAAAGAAAGAAAAGAAAAAAACAAGAACGAAGCCAAAAGTGCAAACAGAAAGAATGACAAGAAATAGAAAGAAGCGGCTTCCGATTTTCTTTATGGCAATTAAAAGTACGCAACTCCTGCTTCCTCGATGAAGCTTGGCCCATGCTCAGGAAAGGAACTCTGGTTTCTGGCGCCCGAAAACAGGATAAGCCCTCAACAGACCAAATAAGCTGGATTCACACGACCACCAAAACACTTGCCAAGGTTACTCTGAACCAAGGTTAGCTTGGTATGTAAAAAGGAGCCATTGGTCTTCCACCGACGAGGTTATATGTGTCATGCAAATAGAGCCACTGAATTGCTAAGAAATTCCAATTTCAGACTCAGGTTTTCTCCACCCCTTCTGGAGACAGTGAATTGAACCTACGTCGCAAAATAGTTGCTTTATCTGTTGAACTACAGCGGCATGTTTAGATATATATGGTTCTTTTCAAATGAAAGGTATGTGGGTGTGCATCTGTACAATTGATTGTGGGCCTTTGAGTGAGTACCTGATCTTGTGGTTCTAACACAGTGTTTTCCAAACTTGGCCACTTTAAGATGTGGGGACTTCAACTCCCAAAATTCCACTGCTGGCTGGGGAATTCTGGGAGTTGAAGTCCACACATCTTAAAGCGGCCGAGTTTGAAAAACACTGTACTAATGGAACCAGCTTTTGAAAAGTTTAGAGAGAAGTTCCATTTATGGACTTCAGCGTTAGCTCAAGAACCAATCAATCAAGCAATAGATTTGATTGATTAGATTGTCTGATTGATTAGACCGAAGGCAGGCAACCTATGCTGGTCCACCTGACCCCTGGAGCAACTCCTAGCCTCTCTACAAGGAAAGTCAGGATTCAGAATGTGAAAGGCCTCCGTTCCTGGATGAGACTGTTCTCCCCCATCTGGTGCCCACCAGCTGAAGTCCAGTACCCTGAAGGTACCAGGGTGGACAACTCGGGCATGAGAGAGAAAAAGAAAGAGAGAAAGATGAGGTGAGAACAGAGACAAACTCAGACGCCAACTGCTTTTGCTCTTAATGCTCAGGACTCACGTCAGTTTCGAACGGACCATGAAGGTGCTCATCTTCGTCAAGGAGAACTTGATGTTGGTGTCCATCTCCTCAATGCTATCCACCGCCACGCGCCGAGGTACACCGGGGGCAAATTGGGCCCACCTGGCATTTCAAATGGAGAGGTTAAATTCATGTTCAGTATACTTTTCACAGAGGGAATGACTTTGGGCCAGAGATGCCCCGCTGGGTCACGAGAGACTTTTACACAATCAAATGCTCCTCCGTAAGAAAAGAACAAGATCAAAGTAAGTGGAATCTGCAACAAAATGTTGCAGTGCAGCATTAGGAAGCCTTGCTATTAAGATGCTGGCCGGCCAGCCACGGCGTTTTCTGAGAAATTCCATTCCATTTCCTCTCCTCCCCACTTTCCGCTCCTAATTAACAGAAACAGCATTCAGTGGCTGCTGAACCAAGCCAAATCCAAAAACGCAAGGGAATTCTGGGAAACCTGGCATTCAGAAAAATCAGCCATCATAGAAACGACCCATATTTACACACGCTTCAACCACACCACACCATTCAAAGGAGACGACAAAAAGCTAAGAAGAAAACAAGAACACCAGACCGCATCTCCTCCAGCAGCCTCCACCCAGATAAGCGGGGATTAACACCAGACAAACCATCAAACAGAAAACCACACCCTAATTAAGGATCTACCAAGGAGAAAACTGCACCCCCACCAACGCTGGCAGGGCAGCTACTGTATATGGACAGGGAGCAAACCCCACCCTCACTAGCACTGATGATGTCACCCAGGCGGGTAATGAACCGTCTGCCTGCCAACGGTGCCAGAGAGCACCAAGGACGCCACTGAAGCATGATTTGGGGATCCCCCCGCAAATTCTTCTGCACACAGCCAAATCCATGCATCTTTTATGAACAAGAACGCTTGTCGGCTGAATGCTGGGAATAAGGGGAATTTATTTTATTTATTTAGAGTGAGCCACTCCACATCTTGATGAGCAAATCCGGCTCTTGCCTCCGTCTGCTGAAGGGTATTTGCATGATTATTTGCAAAGAGGCCAAAAGGGACCGTCTGTGTGTGTGTGTGTGTGTGTGTGTAAGCCTCTTGTGTCGGAAGAGAAGGGATGGCGCAGAGAGGCTCCAGAGAGTCCTACCTGTACGTGTCCTGCCTGCACCTCAGCTCTTCCACCCGGTGCCTCAGATGCCAGGGGTTAGCGCCATCATCGCAAATTAATTTGCCTGGGAGAGGCGAAAGGGAAGGAAAATTTGCTTTGCACACAAGGGTTCAATTTGCATTTGCGTTTCTCCAAGCAGGAGAGTTCCCAATCCACCTGGGAATGGGGGCGGGGGGGGGGGGCGGGGAAACTTTCTTTGTGGGGTTCTTGCTCCCCGGAGGGC